TGTATAATACTGTATAAGTAGTATTGTGTAATTAACTCAAACTATTGTGTATTTAACTTGACTTTTGCTACAATAGATTCTGTTCTTAACTATGGGTCACCCTTAAACCGGGTGTTCTTAACCCAAGGACTATCTGTAAACAGATTCCAAATGGGATGCATTTTGGCAGAAAAAAACCTGGAACATTTTTCTTGTTCAAGGTTTTGGCTGTAACAAAATCTGTGTGGATCCTGGAGTGATTTAAGTAAAGGAAGGCTGGTGGATGTTATCCCCTCCTTCCTTACAATATGGCATATCCCACTGACCCACCTATGCTGCGCTTCCCTTCCCTCACTTGCTACTGCCAATGTTGAAGTATGGCATATTCAACTGGCCTGCCTTCCATCCAATCTTCCCAGTGCCACTGTCATTCTTGACTTTCTCCTCTGCTCTCCCACCCCCATCCCCCTGCCCTCAAATCTTTTGCCTTAAACAACTGCATTTGCCTGGAACGTTTGCCTGGAACAATGTGCATTTTGCATATTTTGCACATATTACTTTTTCAATATTCTACATTAGGCTTCCAGAATCAAACAAACTTTATCCAAAACAGAACAAAACTGCCCTGCTTCATTTCATAGCCAAACCAAGCACACATTTTAGTTTGGGGATGAAACACCTGAAAACCTGAACTATTTTGTACACTTTAGTTTTTACACATTTTGCACTTATTACTTTTTCAATATTCTACATTAAGCTTCCAGAATCAAAAAACTTTATCCAAAATGAAGTTCCATTGTTTCCTACATTTCTCCTTCACATGTTTTCTTCTGGTCTCACTGGAAAAAAATCCACTGTCTTAGCACATATAAGGAATCTTATTCTACTCTTGTTATTCTGTGTTGCAGAAATGCACATGCTTGCCCAGTCCTCAATGGAAACAATTTTTTTGTTATAAACACTTACTACAAGATCCCCTGATTTGCACAGATGTTAAAGAATCAGTATATCTTTACTACTCAAGTCAGAAAAACCTTAAACATAGCAAAACCATAAAACTATACTTACAGCTTTAGGATAGCACTGCCGTCGTTTCGTAGAACCTGGCCTTCCTGGAACGCTGGTTTCTTCTTCATCATGCAAATCAAGTTCCTCTTCATACTTCACTGTTTCTTTTCCAACAGGCATCAAATGATCATCCAGTTCACCTAAAATATAAATAATGAACAAATTATAAATCAAGTAATTCCATAAGAAAGAAAGAATTTGCTCATCCAAAAAAGTAACTTTTATCCAGCCTTTTGAAAAATGCATATATAAAATCCTGAGAGACTGTATCATTGAAGGTCTAAAGTTCCTCACCTGTTTTACAACAAGCATGGTACAATTCTGAAGTACAAATAAAAGAATAAAAAATAATAATCTCTTCATTAAAATGGAGAGAATTAAAGTTACTGCAGCAGCAATTAAAGGAAACTGCCTGAGTTTAAATTACTGAGGATTTTTTTTCAAGATTCTTAGTACATCAATTGGGATGTTATTCTTTACAAATCAGTCTGTAGTATTAAGTGTCTGAAGTCCATTTGGATTGATTTTATTCATATAAAATCATACTCTGAAACAACTCACTGAAGTACTCAATGGACAAGTTACTATGAAATATGTATACACAGGATTATATCCTTTCTAAGATTTTGAGAATGCTAATCAGTGTGCAAAGCTGGGCATTCTTTACTCCTTCTTCTAATAAAGAGGCCTGAGCCCCTCAATAACGATATTACTAAGTTCCACAGTGTGATCTTAATACATCAAGTAGCATAAATAGAGGATGCAGGAGGAGAAGGCAATTGGGAAATGGATTAAGGGAACTCTGCACCACAGCATTATGTTTTAACCAAGTGTTTCAGGGACAAATTAAATATATTTTTTTAAAAGGCTAAATTATGCACCAACTAAATTCCATGGAAAAGGGGAAGTTTCATTTTAAAAATTTTGTTTCTCAGACCCTCTTAGACCAGAGGGTCAAGGAGAGCTCTTTTCATTCTGGAAGCAGAGCAGTCTATTGTTCTCTCAGAGAATTACAGTGGCTGAGAATGGACTGAAGTGTTTCAAAGTAATTTCAATTGAACAAACAGAAGACATTTGAAGGGGAACAACTTTTTAAAAGAATTATACATGGAAATTTTATCCTCAGTTTTTATGTCAAGTATTTAACTCAATACAATTTTTGTATTGTGTGGGATGAAAAGAAAGACGCAAATAATGGGAAAATTAATAAATAAATGAGGAGTTACATAGTCATATTAGTTAAACAACTGATAGGGAGGAAGGAGAATCCATATGGAAAATACAAAGAATACTAGTGCTGTCAGTACAGAAAACACTAGATCTTGTTGATGCTGGCTACTACTGGCCGCCAGACCCAAGAATGTTAAGTATCAAGAATGCAAGAAACCCAGCATAAATGATACTAGGTTCTCTTCTTATAACTACATACATGGATTTCCAGTAGAGAAAAATACTAAGTGCAAAGGCTGGATATCAAAACTATGGTTAATAGAAAAGTGTAAAAGTGACTTTAAAGAAGACCAAAGTAAGAACTAAGGCTGTCAGTTCCAAAAACCCTGGAAGGGCATTTTTCAGATATTTCTTTCCCGCTACAGTACCTCGTACCATTTTTTAAAAATCAGAATAAACATTCAAGATAATATCAAACTTTTGTTAAATAAACGATATTGCTTCTAAAAATACTTACCAATTTTATGCAATTTTTCGCAACAAATAAGAGCAACAACTCTTTCTGCTAATCTCACACAACTCATTGGAGGACCCTGGAAATAAAATTTGAAGCAAATATATTATAACTTCCTATCAATATGTAATAATGAAATTAATTGCTTTTATTTTGGGGGGAGGCGGCTCAATTTTATATTTTAGTTATTATTTGCTAGATTAATGCCCTGTCTTTCCTTCTGGAGTTCATGGTGAAATACACAGCATTTCTTTCTTCCAGTTTTTCCCCACAGCAACCCTGAAAAGTAGGTTAGCCTAACAGGCTCAAAGTCATCCAATAAGTATGCATGGCTGGGGTGGACTTACAGCTGGGTCATCACCTCAACTAGTATGCCTCACTGGCTCTCTAATAACTAAGTACTGTCATGCACTAAAATATTTAATTGTTGTACAAGAGACAGGTTTAAGAACATAAAAGAACATTTTAAAAGGCCATACAGCTGTGCACAGAACAGATGTTATTTATGTATTCCAAACATAGCCAATAGTTGCTTTTGCAAAAAAGATACGTCAGGTTATTATAAATGTCAAACCACATCACTATTTAGACTGAGCATTTAATATGAAAGGAAAATAAATTTTTTCTTTCTATGCTAAGATACTTCCATGTTGCTAACAAAAACATGTCATTAAGACTTAGCCCTAGAGTTTCTTATAACGTTTGCACACAGTTTTTTCATTCAAGCATTAATATGCTAGTCTGATTCAAATGGAGAGAAGAAAGTGTGTCTTTCAGTGCTTCAACACTGAAAGACAACAGTGTGTCTTTCAGTGCTTCAAATGGCCTCTCATTTGATTGATTATCCTGAAATCTAGTTAAAGACGCCTTCGAACACTGTAGCTCATATCAAATCCATGGGACCAGCTACTTAGCAAAAACAGAGTAAACCTGTATATAACAATAACATATACACTGCAGGAAAGCCAAGTTGCAAGTCAAAGCCAGAGGAAAAACACTGTACATACTCAAAGTTTACTTAATCTAAGCAAACAGAATACTTACAACTATTGATGCTCGAAGAGGAGAATTGATAGGAAGATAAAGTGTTGCATAAAATGTGTTATCAAGGAGTTCTCTAGTTTTACACTTAGGAGCCAGATGGGTAAACGGATCACTAGGTAATCTAGCACAATACCTATTTGACACAAGTGGTTTTTTTTAAAAAAAAGAAACATAAATACATCATTTTAAAAAGCAAATGATATCTTATGGCTAACATATTCACAAGTTAATAGAATTCAACAGGCAAAAGGGTAAGTCAACAGTTTGCAGTTATTTGTAAGATTTCTATCCAGAGTTACAAGCCTTAATTTAAACATATTGCACAACTCTCCCAAACAGAGGGTAATTACCTCCAAGGGGGCAATTTGGGCTTGTCCTGGGGATATGGAGAAATTTGTTAATTGCTTATTTGTTAACCTAGGATCTAGTTTGGGACTGCCACTGCCAAGATGTCTGTGTAAAACAAGAGTCTGTTTTTTCATGTAGGTAGTGACATTATTCAAGCCTGGGAAAGGGGATAATTGGGCCAAACAGTTTAAGAACCATTAACATAGTGGGAAGGATTCTTCATTAAAAACAAAAAAATCAAGTAAATAGAAAAAACTCATCCTTCTGAGTATATAAAATGGCCCCACCTAGTTTCATGACTGCACCACACACGGCAGCATTCATTCTCTCCTAAAAAAGCATGATTTTTAGCTACCAAAAGATTGCCCAGCACTGATAAAAGTGAATGAATTTTGAGAGATCTAGCAATGAAGGTGCCAAAAGCCTTTTTCCTTAGGGAAGTGGTATTTAAGGATATACCAAACATTCCTTCAAACTGGCGAGGACACTAAATCTTGTGCTAACGTCTATATCATTCAATCCCTGCCTCCCAAAGCAACTGGGTAGTTTACCCTTGGTTGGATTCCTCCTTACAGCAAACCAGGAAAAATGAGCAGGAAAGTTAAGAGCAGGAAGAGTTCAATATATTGCAGAATTATTATTTATTTTAAGAATATTATACTGATATCTCTCTCCCATTTTATTCCCTCCCCATACCCCAATATTAAACATTTATAGGTATATTTCAGGAAAAGTAATAACTATTAGACAATAAATGGATTTGGTTGCCTTATTTCTTGTAAGAAATAAAATCCTTAGTGTAACCATAATAGACAAATGCTTAAAATAGACACAGTTGTCAGCATTTAATTAAAAGGCTACTTTATATCATATCAAATACAGAGCTAAATAATGAAACAACAATAGTCTCATACCGATTAATGTGTCCAATAGCAGTGTTTATTGTGACTCTTGGACCACCATCTTCTGGCCTCAACACATATGGTGGGAAGATGTCATCATCATCTATAATGGGCTCATTTTCTGTTTCACTAATATCAACAGACTTCGAGCATTTGTTCCTCAGGATCTTAAAAAAATTAAATTAATAGAGAATGACAAGAACATTCTATGTATATCAACTAGATAAACATTAACGGGAAGAGTGAAAGATATCTATTACAGTCAGTTCTAGAATAATTAAGGTAGAATGGTATTTTCTATGGGCAATATCTCTACTAAGTTCATATTAGTTCCCAGCCCTTAGTTACCACAATCCACAATTATGGAAGAGGCCACACCAACATTAACAGTACATACCAGCTAAGAAAAAGAAACTAACAACACTGACTCAGAGACAATTGAATGTTCAGATTCCGTGGCTTCTGTCGGAAAAAGGATAATAGATCAGAGTCTTTTTGTATACTATTTATGAATATTAGCATATAAATGTCTGTATTTTTATACATATCAGGGCAGTCCAAATCGTTCAAAAGATGTGCTTTGGAACATGCAGGAATATATATGAAGCACTATTTTCCAACAGTTAAAGTACCTGTGTCTTTATAAAGGCTAGCATAACGGCTTCAGAAGTTACTCCCAGCTTTCTCTACAATTGGGTGCATGCACAATTTGCTGTTTTCAAATCACTTCTTTTGAAGCATTTACAGTGTGTGTATGCATGTGAATAAAAATGTATGTTTATAATTTTATGAAAATATAAATATATAAATAAAAGAGGTGGCCAGTCTACTGAGAGATGCCTATGAGCTAGTTATTCAGTCATTTGAAAATCCTCTGCCTACTTCTTGCTGCACTCAGTAGTCTTTCTGTGGATCCCTTATTTGTCCCCCGAGCCCCCTTTGGGCAAATAGTCTTCTATGTGTATTCTCTTAGCTCCTCTAGCCATCAAGACATCTTTCTCAATTAAACCTGGATTCCCACTGCTTCTCTGCATTTCTTCTACCTTTAAGAATAACTGATTGTCTGATAACTAAACTACTGAATCACTATTTACTACGATTTACTATAATTACTATGATTTTCAGAGTCATAAAACCATGGTTCTTTTTGAGAGGCATTTGGGGATGAGTAAAATCATGCTACCCTGCATCAGGCTGATTGTTATAACTGTATTAATTGATTTTTGTTTTTAATCTGATATTAATACTGTAAGCCATTCTGGGTATCTGGAAGTAGAGTGGCATAAACATTGTACAGATAAATAAATACTCCCCCCATTTCCCTTCTACTTCAGGGTCCTGGACTTTGTCACATACCTTCTCAATAGCTTTGTAGGTTTTAAGATCTTCTTCAAAACATTTGATTTTGTCTGAATCAGCTAACATGATGTAGTTTGAGATTGGTGCCCTGGCTCTTCCTTTGGATTGCACATAGGAACGATATTCTGTGGGCAAATCAAAACGAACCACCAAATTGCATTTTGGTATGTCAACACCCTCTTCTACAATACTAGTTGCAATTAGCAAGTTGGTTTCATGTGCTCGAAATTTTCTAAGTACCTACAAAGTAACCAAGAAGACATATTTCTAAGACCATCTGTTGTAAAACCATTACCTAAACAAAAGTTTAATATTTCAGTACTTGCAGAAGTCTACTTACAGTCTAATGGTTAGGAATAAAAAGTTATAGTTTTTAATATAGCTTCAATAAAATTAAAAAGGTTTACATTTTCTGCAATAAAATTAAAAACTTCAATACTTTTTTTTTTTTAAAAAAAAGGAATAAAAGTTATAGTAAAGACAAAAATAACATGTTATAATTTTAGGGAATTGTTAATAATTTTAGAAAAAAAAAATATAAATTATTTGGTTCACATCTTAAT